CATCATAAATTCTGCATTTCAAGTGTTAACAAAGCCTTTAAACTCATTTATCTCCCCAAATGAGGTACAGTCAGGTAGGCATTTCAACAGCTCCAGTGATGTGTATTGTTCCAAGTTGCCCAGCTCAGCCAGCCAGTCTTGCTTTGCCATTAGCAGCTTCCTGCAGTGTCCATATTCCTCTATGTTGCAGTCCCAAAATCCCCCCCTTAAGACTTCATAACTGTCTTCAGAGAAACAAAACTCTCATCCCAGATGAACTTCTGGAATAATATATACTCTATTGACCATTGCTGCCTTCAGATACCTCTCCCAGCCCCATTCCTCCTTCTCACTCTGGAGCAACCTCATCATTATTCTCTGGACTCCAAACATCCTTTCTCCCTGGATTCATGATTTGTGCAATTTTATTACCTGGACCTTTTGTTCCCAGGGGTGTTGTTCCTAACAGAGTGGACAGAGTTCCTGGCCTTCCACCATGGTGTCATTACCATGGCCAGCAATGCAGAAGAGTTTCCTGAGCTTGACCGTGGTTCCTTTGTCACCAGGAAGGGTGTGGAACTTCAGGTGACTGCACTGCCTCTTCACTCCCAGCTTTCAGCAGCTGCAGCAGCTTTTCATCCTCCCACTCAGTGTGAGGCCCCTCAGCTGCTTTCCTACGCCTGCCCATATGGGAGCAGGTTCCCAGCCTTCCCATGGGGAGCAGGGAGTACTCTAGGTCAGTTCACTTCACTGAAAACACTGTTCTTTCTGTGCTTCAGGTAGAGTTACTGATAATGAATGGCTTTTTAACATTCAGCTTCAGAGTGTTTAAATACTTTTATTGGACACGCAAGTGTGGGACACAGGAAAATAGTGAATGCAGTTAGTGTGTTCAGAAAGCTTTTATTTTCATTGTTTAGTGTAAAGATGTAGAAGGTCTGTTTTAGAAAAATGCCTAACTCACCTTATAATATTGATGGAGTAGTAATTACTGGTTGTTTTTTTGAGTGGGTAAGAGAATTAGTTAAAATGCTCCTGGGTGGGTCATACTGGTGAAGTTTGACTCTGTCTCTTTGAAACAATACAAGCAAAGCCACACTAAAAGAGCAAGTGCAGCAGAAGGGAGCTGACAAAGACAACTTCTGTCGGCTCTTGGAGAAGGATCTGGGCAGTTCTGAGGTCACCAAACAATTCCTTTGAGCTGATTTTTAAGTTGCAAGAGGACAGTGGCTGCCACTGATGAACTTGGTTTTGCCAGTTAAATCAGATTCTTTCGGGGCAGGAGAGAAGGAAAAAGACATAAAAGCTGCTGGAAGGTGTGACAGTGGGACTCTAATACTGGTGTTTGGCACTTAGCATAGCCTAAATCTCATTCCATCTTGTTTGATCTGATGGGAATAAGTCTGGCTAAGGATTATCAAGGGCTGACATTGAGTGGTTTCGGGTGCTGCTTTTAGGGTAAAGCTTCTCCCTTTCATCTCTCTGGTTATCTCTGTAATCTTTTTCAAGGGCTTTTTCAAAGCAAGGAGATAAGTCAGAGAGGGATAGCAGTGTTACCATCTGGATAATGATGCCAACCCACAACTTCACCAAGAGGTGTCAGAGCTTTCTAAGTTAAGCAGGTCAATATGTTTTTTTCTATTTTCAGCTCTTGATGACTTCAAAAAACTATTTGGGCCCAACAAAGTTTGAGGAGTATATAGAAAGGAAAAGACAGGGACACTGGTGAGTGGAAGGGGAAGGATTTAGTTACAGTAAGAAAACTGTTGCAGGAGTTTCTCAACTGTTTTTTTAATACAAGGGACTATTCTTTGTAGCAACTAACTAACATCTGACATATGTACTGATAACTGCTGACCAGAGTACTTGATTACTGACCTGAGTGGAAATGTGAAACACCTCTGACTCTTCTGAAGCATCTCCCCTCATTGTGATGGCATCTGTGAGCCTTCTTTGCCTCCATCTCTCACCTGCTGCTCAGTTTGCTCATCACATCTGATTGCCACAAGAGGCCAGTTCATGTAAAAAGCACACTTTCCCGATGTTTCATTCCCTGAGTCTACTTCTTCTCTTTAAATCTTGGGATTTAAAATGTACCTGTGGATGTGCATTATCTCTCTGCCATTCATCATGCTGATGGCCTTTGCTGAGAGTGAGGTGAACTGCACCCAAAGCACTTTCTGGATGCAGCAAGCAGTTTTTTAGTTATTGCTTCTTTCCCTGTAGACCCTGTGCTGCTCCCCAGGGACCATTGGGAAGGAGCAGGCTGAAGGTTTGCAGGGCGCTGACCAGGTGCAAAAAGTCAACTTTATTTTGGCTAGATAAAATAAATATTCTTTCCCTGCCTTTCTGGCTGCAACAAGGGATTGCTTCCCTCTTGCTGTTTGTTGATGTGCAAAAAATTCAGTGACTCCTCATAGTGTGTTGGTACCTGGTGTGGATCACTCAGCAGTAGCTCACTAGTAAGTTATCAAAACTGTAGGGCTCTCAAGTGCACTAAGGCCAACACTAGGGACTGTTTCGGTGCTCAGTCACTTTATTCTTCTGAAGCCTCTCAACTTTCCAGTAATCCAGTCCATCCTCCTTTTGCATCCCTTCAGTCTCAGACAACATGCCCCGGCCTTCAGCAAAGAGCAACTCTGAAGTCCAGCTGCTGCCTGGGGACATCAGGAGCTGTGGTGGGTGGTGGGAAGCTCCTCGGGCCTATGCTTGTTTCATTTCCATCCTGTGCTCAGAAGGAAAGCTGCCTCAGGTTCTTTGGTTGCATAGTTGTTTCACTGTCTCCCTGTCAAACTCTATTAGCAGGGAATGCACGAGGGGACACCCAACTCCCCCTGTTGTGCTCTGGCAGTGAAGCTGATGGATCAGCACCTCGATCTGATGGGGATGGGAAGTGCTGGCAGGAGCAGGTGCAGCCCCAGGACCAGCTCAAGGGGCCAGGCTGTCATTGCTGTCACTGGCTTCTCGAAACCCAAAGGTCAGACTCCTCTCTTCAGCAAACTGAGCACAGGCTCTTGGCCTCAGGAGCATCTTCCACTTGTTAATAACCGAACTTTGTTGGAAATTCCCAGCAGTGCTCTGACACAGATGGGTTTGAGTCATAGAGGAAGGGTCAAGCTTTACTCACAGGCAACCAAGTGTATTGTGACCCTGCATCCTCCTTCCATCTCTTCTGCTTTGCCAGGTTTGGTGCGCTCATCTGACCCTACCCAGAGCTGCAGCACCACACAGGGATCTTGGCTGCTCCTCTCTTAACATATTATTCCAGGAGGAGCCTCTGTATGTGTGAAACATGGGCTGAATCTCACTCTTTAGTGCTTCTGCTTTCCTTAAGCCTTGTCTAATTAAATGCCTATTTACTGCCTATTGCCTCCAGCTGCCAGCAGGCACGTATGGGTGAGCAGTGCTGCCTTCAGTCCATGAACTCTTTGGGTGGGAATGCAGTGTTTCACCAAAAGCTCATCTTTTGGGAGTAGCAGCAAACATAAATCCCGCTCTGCCTCAACAGCCCACCATCTTCCAGCAGTTTATGTGTATTTATAGGCACAACACTGCAGTTGCTCTGTGTTACCATCTCCCTTAACCCCTGTGCCCCCCGCTCCCTTCACCAGATGTGCATGACAACCATCTGCCTTCCCACAGTGGGACTGGGAATGTTCCTGTCGTGTTACCAAAAGCCAGTGGGTCCTCTCCCTGGCAGAGCAGCTGCGCTGGTGTGTCCTGCACATCCATGAAGGAATGCACGTGACAAAACCCAGGACTGTCCCCCCCCCCAGGGACTCAGAGTGACGTTTGCAGCAGGACCTGCTGCCCTGTGGGATGGTGCCTGGGAAGGGCTGTGATGACGCTTTGTATTAGCACTGCTGCTGTCACCAACCAGAACAGGAGCAGCCAAGTACCAGGAGCTGTCTTAAGTCTCAACTTGAAGTGGGGTCTGTGGTTTGTGCATGTGTTTTCCTAATGTTACAGTTTTGCTGTAAATAGCACAAATGTGTAAAAAGAGTTTTAGAAGAAAACTCCAAGATTATTTTATCTGTTACACGAAGAAATAGGAGAAGCAGAAAAGGAGAGGAAAATTAAATTAGAAGCCATATTTACATGTGGCAAGACTAACTTCGCCTACTTAATGAGACAGTAAACTGGAATCTGAACAGATCAGCAAAGTCTTTGTTTTACAAATATGCTGTCATTCAACAATACTGTGTACTAGAACGTTGGCTAAAAGGTGGCTGTATGTTGTAATGCAAGTTATGTACAGACGTCATCACAGTTGCCCCTTTTAGCTTTGCAGTGTTTTATTTGTGCAGTTCGCACAAGAGGACCCTATGGGTGACGCCCTGTGACAAGGTCTAAGAAAGCCACATCCAAGCAGCACCTCGCACGCACGCTGTCTGTGGTTAGCACAGCGTTTCCCCCAGGACCGCGGCAGTTCAAAAGGCTGTGCCAGGAAATCACCTGAGGGCACCGCAGTTGTTCACCAGTGCCCCAGTTTTCATGCTCCAAGTTGCACTCTCGGCATCTGCAGCAGCTGGGGACTATTCTCTCCCTTTCTAAAGGTTGCCACTGTGCCCGAGTCTGTGCGTCAGAGCTGTCATTTCAAGCCATCTGCAACGTGCTGCTGCTTATTTAAATGTTAACTTGTTTGGTCCTCAAAACATGCAAGAAAGGAGAAAAAGATCATGAAACAATTATATAGAGCTTTGCAAGGCCTTTCTTGCTCACTTCCTTCCACAGAAACAAGTAAGGACCATCTGATGAAAATTCTGCAGGAGGGAATAAGGCAATTAATTTCAGTTGCAGATCCTGAATTTACTGAACTTAATTGCTTTACTACTCTTTTTTTTTTTTTCAGTGGTGCACTGGAAGCTTATGTTCAATCAGTCAGAACAAGAGAGGGGAAGGAATTTGCACCAGTCTACCCCATAATGGTTCAGCTGCTGCAGAAAGCCATGTCAGCCCTTCAGTGAGCACACTTGGATAACGCTCTCGACATATGGAATGGACACGTTCAGTCGGGGGTCTTTGGTGCCACAAATGTATTTACAGTTCATGTAAATTATTCCCAAATACAGAAGCTTTACAATGAAACGTGTTTACCTACTTCATCTCTGAAACTTGTCTTCTTGCTTTACTTTCACATTACAGGAACTTATACAGAAATATTATAAGGAAATTGTACAACTTTTATGTGCTGTAAGTCTACATCTAATTGAAACATTCTTAAGCATTCCTTTTGAATTTAGAAAAGTGTAAAATTAGAAGTCAAATATTACAGTATAATTGCTGAATATCTCAAATAAGGAAGCAGCTCTTTTCCTACAAGTATGGTTTTAAACAGTTGGATACATTTTAGCCTTATTCAGAAAACTGAACTTATGAAATGCTAGAATCATCAGTTTCCATGTAAAAATCACTAATTTTAACAGAAGGAAAAATATTTATAACTAACCTAAATGATTCTCTATTGCACTGCTACTTGCTTAGAAATAATTTATATTTATTTCAACTCTCTTTTTGCTTAAACTCTAATAAAGAACATTGACTATTGAATCCGGAAATCAGTATTTGAAATTCTTCAACATCTTCCTAATGGTAAAGCATAAAAATATACTTTGGATGGGTTCATGTAAAGACTTCCAGGCAGAACATGCTCACTGCTGCAGGGCTGAATTAGTGATTGGTCTTCTTCATTTTATAAAATACACAACACCAAATTTTAATGAATTTATTTGAAATAATATACAAGAATATAGTGTGCAAAAATCTTAGGGGCAACATCATGTAGACGTGTCATAAACTGAAATTTACAGTTGTGATTCTTAAAAAAAAAACAACGCACAGCTGTTTAGTACAGGAAAAGCCATGATTGTAAAAGTTCACAGCAGAAGCAAATTGTAATCCTAATGCAGTTGCTCTAATTTTAGACAGTTGGAGGAGAAAAAAAAGTAAAGTGCAAGTGTTGCACGTATAGTTAAGTGCAAAGTTTGCCCCCACCATAAAGATGTCTTATGGCAAAATAAAATATTGTAGAATATGTGGCAAAGACAAAACACAGAGTTATAACTATGATGGTGATGGTATCAACAGCACCATTTTTCTTGAGATAACGTTATTTTTTCATTCATCCTCTCCCAGGCCATTGTTTCCACCATGAAATGACAGCTCTCACTAGTGCCAGCCGATGCAAAAATATCTCCCTTGTGGATACAGGTTTTATAAGTGGCATCCCAAGCAGCAGCTCCTTTGCTACATCACACCATGCTCTCCATTCCCACACGTTCTGGTAACTTGCTGGCAGCGGGGCAGGCTGGGAAGCTGGAGACTGATAATACACTTTGCCATTTCAGAAAACCCCAGGCCCCAGAATTGCAATTAATAATATGGTTGTGCAATACATATTAATCAGCAATAAGAATCAATGTATATAAACAGCTGTTACATATTTTAAAATTCCCCTTTTTGTACATTTTCTTTTAAAAATAAACATTTATACACATCTCCTTCGCCTCTTTCTAAAGTACTTTAGCACCACAGGATATCCATTTTCAAGCCTATATTACCTGATACATATATGAAGTTTGGAAGAAAAATAAGGCAATTTGGTTTAAAATGCTGATAGTTTTAGCTTACTTAATGTTCTATTGTAAAAAGCAAATCTGCACTCAGATCATTTCCGACTTGATGGTGCCAGTATTTTATGGTCACACAGAGTCACAAAAAATAGTAAGACCTTGATCTTTTGCATCTTCTTGCCATTGAGCAACAGCCATTTTGCAAACACAGTTAACAGAAAAATTCTGGCTTAATGCTGTTGTGAGCCCTGAGAAAAGAGAAGAGAAAACCAGGTTAGCAGTTACCAAGCAAAGGGGAAGCAGATCTAACCTTAAAACTAGCAAACACTTGTTCTGAAAGCCACAAGTACTTTTCACTGGTCAGTTATTCAGAAGAAAACAAAAAGGCCAAAACCAGACATCAAGACTTCTCTGTCACAGCCTAGAGTCCACCAGCCATTAGTAAGGTAACAAAGATGTAAACAGTTCAGTTCACTGAATTAAATAATTTAAAAAGGCATTTCCTGATGTAACACTGAGGTTCTACAGATCCTGTTCTCTTGGCCTGAAGCCCCTAAGGACAAGGAAAATCCTACTACAAGGCAGTGTAAGAAAGCCATCCTTTCTACTGAGGCAAACTCATCACTACTCCTCTCAGCTGCAGAAATGCCTCTGAGTTGCCTGAAGCTCACAGGTGAGTGTGTGATCTCACCATCTAAAGCCCAATACTGCAGTAATGTAGAAGCAGAAAAAATAAAGACTAGTATTTTAACTAAACCCACAAGGAAATCTAACATAAGATGACACTGTTGATAGAATGCAGTGAAAAGAAAACCAGCTTTTTCCTAGCAGCTGGGATTTGGTGGAACCTTCTGCAACAAGGGACTGGGAACTCAGCACAATGTAGAGCAGAAAGAAGCAACTTAAGTGTAAGAGCATTTCTTATTCAGTCTTAAGGCAACACTTGCATATGCTCTTGAGAAAGCAGCCTCATTTACACATGAAAGGAAGGGGGATAACTTGAGGATGAAATCCTTCACTACGTGGATGGTTTCACCAACTATGGAGATGAAGTCCACACCACACTTCAAGCTCCTGCCCAGGCATAAAATGGCTGATGAAGGCACTCGGCATTCTGTGCACCTCAGTGATCTCTCCTTCCAACCTACTCCTCTAGCTGAACAAGCTGAATCTCCTTTTTTTTGATGTGTGCTTTATATGATGGTTCAGCTTGAAAGCCATTCTCTTTAATACATCCACCACCTACTAATCCACACCTACAATCTTAGATTGATGGCTTTCTACAAAGTGCAAAACAATTTATTTCCCTACAGAAGTAGTGTTATCTGCTGTATTTATTTTACAATTAAACACAGTCATAAGTCAAAGGGATTCACCAGGAAAAAATTATTTTGCTCCCTTAATATCTTCATATATGCTGGTATAAATAAGGATTAACAAAACAGAAAAAGGTAAAGAAAAAGCTTTTACTGAACAAAAAAAATTTAGGTACAACCTTATAAACTCAGTTACTTCAAACAAAAGGTCATGTACCCTTCCTCCACATTTCACAAACACACTCACTTCTCAGTCCAACAGAATTCACAAAACTCTCATATAAAATATTCAGAGAGAAACCCTCTCCTGAAGAAGGTCTGGGCTACCAAGAACGCAACTTGTACTGCACAAACCCCACTGTAGCTACCTGTATGAACACATATAAGTGCATTGTGAAAAAGATTGCTTCACAAACATACAGAATTTGTTCGTTTTCTTTTCCAACAGTCAGGATTTAAACGTTTCTGCTCTTCTGCCAAGGCCTTGGCTTCTAGTGTGTACATCCGTCTTTCCTCATTTTTCATCTTCTTCCACCTGTCCCCGAGTATCACACTTATGGCTCTGCAAGATAAATGTTTACAGTGTGGTCAGGATGGTGCTAAGAAATACCCTGATTTTTTTCTTTTTTTTATCTGAGAACTTTAAAGAAGACAGAAGTTAAATGGGGGAATAACACAGAAGGAAAAAATCAAGTGTATCTTAGCATTTTTAACAATCATGTTTCTGGTTATATTCTCATCGCTCTTTTAATAGTTAAACAGTTGAGACTTCTGTGTTAGCTGAGCATGGGTCAATGCACATTCTAACATTTCAAAGGGTGTACGTTTGAATACGCAGCAACTGGCATAAACCAGCAAAATAGGGATGTTAAAAAAAACACCACCAAATGGTAACTCACATTTGTTTTGCTCTACTTTCATACTAAAAGACAATATGACAGATTTGCTGAAAATATGTTCTCTAATAATTAGGGCAATGAACTGAATATGACCTCAGCCAAACAAATATTTGATTAACTCCAAGCCCCCATGTCTATTTAATCAATATGTGTAGCTTCCTCCACCTTTAATCCATGCTGGGCAGAACACAATGGTAAGTTCCCATTCCTATGCAAAGGGAACCGTTTGTTCTAACACATCTATCACCATTTCCAGAAGCTAAATTAATTCCTTTCCTACTCTCTCTAAACTCTAGGTCTTTTGAGAACATTTCCCTGTATTATCATGCCATATTGCTTAACTGCACTCCCAAATGTTGGATCAATATCCCATTAAAGCTTTAACTCCATCCTTCAGCTGAACAAAAATCTCTAAACAACAGCTCTTTTATCAATGACAATTACAAGCTAATGAGTAGTTTGAACACTTTGGCTTCAGATTACAGTGATGAGAGTTCTATGATGGGCTTTAACAAAAAGGTGGACACAACTAAGTCCTTTGCTTTCTACTATTAACAAGTTCCTTGCTGGCAGCAAAGCTTTTCATAGACTTTCTAACTGACTGTGGAGTGTCATCAACCATTTCCATAACATGGCACATACAGCAATTCTGAAGGCTTTTCTGCACCACACCAAGAAAATGGATTTTGAATCCTACAAGACCTTTTGGTACCATTCACACTTTCCCAGAGCACTCAGGGAGCACAGCCTGACCTGCACTGGGGCTGCCCTTCAGCCTGTGGTGTCACATGCCCTGGTGACTACTCAGAGCAAACTCCTCAAGCTGCCACCAGATCCCACCAACATCAAACCCATTTGCACAGCCTGTCTCTTTGGCGATGGAATTTCTGGTTTTATATCCTAACTGAGAACCAGTATCTTTGGTCTGTCATCAGAAGCAAACAAACCCCAGTTTAATTATCAGATTTTTCATGTTTTGACAGTGTCCAGAGGCAAATCAACAGAAACCTGTCTGCTTTGGGTCACCAGTTTGTACTGGGTCACTCACACCCCCAGGAAAGAACATGGTGACCCAGAGAGAGGAGGTTTGCTGAAAAAGCAAATCAAGATGCACTATGAAATCTTTGTATTTCAAATCAAAAATATTATTTTCCTCATCTTTAGAAGGTTCACTACTCAAATTATTCAAGGATTTCTGAATGCACAACTAAGTCCAACAACAGTTACAGTGAGAATATCTAGAAAATAAACAAGTGCAGCCCTAACACCAGTTTCTAAAACGTGGTCTTACAGCCCACAGTAGTTTTAAGTATCCCGTGACTCTTGATTCCTGCTTTGTTTACAGCTCTCTCTCTTGCTCACATGGCTTGAGAGCTTCTTTGTCTCTGAACAGACCGTGTAACTCTGAATACCTCAAGTTCTGTCCTGTCTTACAGGGGTAAGAAAAATAAAGTAACTGTAACAAACATAACCCCAATGTATAAAAGTAACTACTACATTGTAACATCTACTCAGTAATCTGAAAATGACACAAACTTACATTTTTTAAAAAAAGAGTTGTCTCTGAACAGCCAAATAAATGCCTCAGCAACACTTTAGCAACAGTAGCTAAATTTCTGCAACATCAATTATCCCTAACTCTGTTTGTGCTGTACTGTGTTTTATGGATGCCACGAAACTGCACCCAAATGCACTGCCTTCCAAACGGGGCAGTGAGCAGTGAATGCATTCTGAAGCTCACTTGTAACTTTGTCATCACTTTCCTTCAAGGTAAACCTCCTCACTGAAATATTCAGCTTATTTTCACATCCATGCAGCTGCAGCTCCAGTTCACTGCATCCATTTGAAATCAGCATTCTCAATTAAATGTATAACCATCATAAACTTTCCTGGCTGATATTTGGTTCCATTTCTCATTGATAGTTGCAATGAATGTGAAGGCAGCAGATCTGCTTCACTGAACTTATAAATATTACAGAACATCATCACTGGGACACACAAGACTGGCTGGGATTTAAGGACGGGCTATTTATAAAGCACGATTTTATTTCTCAATAGCAGTTACAGCCTCCTTACTAGAACATTATAAAATAGCCAAAACCCCTTTCAAAGCACTGTCAACTTTAATTTTTTTACCAGATTTAGTACTAGAATTTTTATGTCACAATGCAAAGTTTTCATAACGTTACATACATTAAAAAATCTAAGATCAGTGCATGTTCATGTGCTTTAGTTTCTATTTACATATGCATAATTAGCACAAAATATTACTTAAAACATATGTACTAGAGATCTTTATAAAAAACATTTAGAAGTGAATGTACCTATAGATTAAGAACAGAAGAACAAACTAACAAAGACCTGTCCCCCAAACAGTCATACAACTCTTCCTGCAAGTTTCAGCAGATTGCTGAATGCCTTTAGGACAAACAAAATTTGGCAATGTACTGTCTGGATTAAGATCTTTCAGATATCCTAACAATCAGTACTCCATTATTCAAAAGGATATATAGACTGGAAATAAATGCTTCTAACTTCATGAACAATTTCCAATATCATGTCAAGACATAATTAGAAGAACCAGAAATTCCCTTTTTTCCATTACAGCACACAAGCAGAGCACTTCCTCACTCATCAGTGAAAACAAAGACTGTTCTGTATTTGTGACTCTGCTGATGCACATATATACATGTATCTGTTGCTTTACCCAAATGCTTTCTCAGAAATTACGTTTGCCAAAACTGGCTTGTATCAAGTTCACTGCATACTGTAAATATTTACAGTCCACCCCTAAATTACCCTTCATGTTAGCATCTTTCAAAACTTGTTCTTAAAACAATATACACACATTGTATTTTAAATGCAAAATTTAGGCCATATAGGGAGAGAGATATTCTGCTAGCTCACCCATAATAGCAAAAGTACAGTTTATATCATTACCTGTTGTCTTTCCCTGGATACATCTGAGTGTATTCAACTCTGTATTTTTTGGCAAAAAGCATGAAGGCATTCATTGGTCTTTTGCACTTGTTTGGAGAAGTGGCACTCACAGTACTTGCAGTCCCTGAGCTGTGGCTTTTGCCAGCTTTGCTGTACAAAGGATTGGAGGAAAGATGTGACGATGCAGGAGAGGCACAGTTTTTATTACTGCATTCTGATCTCTCAGCATCCTGATTGTTTGATCCTCCACAGGACAGAGAGGCGCGGCGCTGGCGGGCCATGCTGCTGAGCACATACACTGCAGAGGAGTCCATCGGTGTGAAATCGTAACTACAAGGAAAAGACATCATACAGTGATCGAGTAATTTTCACGTAAAATCCCTAAAATACCTGTTCCCTCTTCAACTGTACTACATTTCTAGTATCCTGGTCTCTTTTGTGTGACATAAAGATTTGTGCTTGATGCAGATGTCAGTGTGAAAAACAAAAAACCACAAGAGTCTGGCAGATAAATTAGTATTTTCTTCAATGTGATGGCAGACTGCAACTTCACACGTTCTGCTGTGTACTTTCAACTCCCCAGCTGTGTATCAATTAGCTATACACTGTCTTCAAATTCCATCCTCTTTTGAAATACACTTCTTTCTTTCTGCTTCTGTCCTTACCATAAATCAAGCCTGTTCAGTGAATGACAGGTACTGAAAGGGACAAGTGATGTGGAAAGAATAAGCATTGAGTTCACTTGCATACACATATTAAGGACAGATATGAAAGCACTAAATTAAAATAAATTACATGCATTACTGTGCAAGTAACTTCTCTCGGCAGTTAAATACACACTGTGTGACACACGAACCTTCCACTGAGATAACACCACTTTTCAGAGCCCCGTGACGTCGCAGCATTTGGTGCAGAGCTGACAAACGCCTGCCCTCTAGTGACAAAACCGCGACATTCCTCGGCATTTCAAGGGATTTGAACAGCTTTGAGGAGTTGTTTCCATAAAATTTAGACCTCCAAATACTCCAAACTCTTGCAATTCTTAGTTGACCGACAACTACAGTTAACCTCCTAAGCGCTACCGAAGAAGTTTAATTCTACAGACTATCTGTTACCATCTCCAGGTGTGCAGATACAGCCTAGGAAGCAAAGGCTATGCTGTCTTTAGCACACTATATGGATAAAACACACTTGGAAAGGTGCTACTCAATCATAAATCATTAAATTACCACCACAAAATAAACACAAAACATACATATGCTAAGGCTCCACTCACACACTGCTCAATGTGGCTAATAATTGCATAATTTAAGGTCAAAATAAGGGCTTTGAAGAGCTTTTTTCTGAACACGAAGTAAAACTACTAGCAAGGAAATAACAGCATGTGGCAGTCCAGCCCCAATCTGCAAAGGTAGCTCCTTTTGTGGGACAGAACCACAAGGAAGAGTGGAGCCTGAAGGGTTGCTTCTAACATAATGTGATAATGCTGACAACCTTGCAGGCTATCGCAAGATAAGGAGAAATGACCTTCCTGTTCTACAACAGTCCAGCACTCTTCCTATTCCTAATCTCCTTCCCTACTCCTCATCTCCTTCCCATAACACAGCAACAGCACTTTGTTTTTTAATTCTTCTGTCCTGTTAACCACAGCTGCTGCTGCACACTTCCTTCTCAGTCACTTACTCCCGTCTGCCCAGAAAGAAAGGCAAGGAATTTGAAGTGTTCAGGCAGAACTCAGCTGGGCTGCAGGATTAGTAAGGAGCCAGAAGTCCAATTTCTTGAGTGAGATGTAGCTATAGTGATTCTAACAGCTCTCCATGTATGCAGTTCAGAAGAGGAGTTAGTAAGAAGAAAAAAAAACCCAGACAGCAAAGGAGTGAAGCCAAGCAATCTGAACTTGCTCTCCATGCCAGACTGAAATCACACAAGAGCTCCCAGGGCCTGAACTGCAAACAGCATTTTAAATTCCTTTTCTTCTACTGTAAAAAACCCAGAAAGCAACTGGACTAAAAACAGATGCTAAAAAGGTGCTAACATATAGGAGAAGATGGATTCTACTAAACCTAGAAATCTCAAAATAGTATGGAAAAAAATCTTTAGTTTTTCGTTAGAATCATTTATGTTGGACAGGACCTCTGAAGGTTATCTGGTTGAACTTCTAGCTCAGAAAAACCTCAAAGTTAATCAAACTTTGAAGTTAGGTAGGTTTGCTATAATACAAAAGAATCCCAAGAAAAAGAATACACAAAAATAAGAAGTAATTATGAAAGTACTGTATTCTAAAGCCATAGCACAAGCATTTATCACTAAGAAACTACTCAGATAATTAAGATACGTAGTTGCATAGGAAGCACAAGGTAACAGCTGGCAGACATATTACTATGGGAAAATTGTACTAGGTTTTTCAAACATAATTCACTTTACCTGAAGAATTTATACAAGTAATATATATATTTTTACTGCTCTATCTAATCTGTCTTAAAATATTATAAAAAGAGGCTGAAAAGTTATTTCATTCCAAAGTACTACATTGCAGTTTAACAGAGTACATAATTACACAGCTTTTCTAGTCCTGAGTATTCATTTTTCCCTATCATTTATCTTATATTACCAAAACTATTCTCTCTTTGCTCTATATAATGCTTCAAATTCTTCTAGACTTAAGGTGCCTACTCATTAAATACAAGAACCACTGAGGCCACTTTATCCAAAAATTACCTTTTAAATGTATCAAAAACACCTGAATCATCAAAGTTAATGGCATCAGGGTGTCCAGGAGGTAGACACAGATCTCCAAGATGCATTTCACAGCATGGAATGCCATGCTGTACCACAGTCAAGCTTGGATAAAAAGATGACCAACCTGAAGTGGTAAAGAGTTAAATTAGACAAACGGCCAGACAATCTCTCCGGTTCTTCATTGGAGCAATCCTACATCTCTAAATTACATAATTTTATAAAAATGTTCTGATGTAGTTACTTTCACCCAAAAGAAAAATCAGAAACACTTAATTACGGAATTCTTACTGCAAACAGTTCATTTTTATCTCAAATAAAATCTCATTCTAGCAAAAAAGTAATCAAAACCTGGAAACTTTTTACCATCATAAGTTCCATGTCTAGCAACTGAGAAAAGCCTCTTATTTGCGGCTCTTTCTCCCCCGCCCCCCCAGTTTTTCTGTTTTCCTGAGCTCCATTTATATATTTGATCAAATCTTCCCTTAAGATATAGGCAGTCTTCCTGTACCTTTATGGCTTTAGCTTTGTTTGTTCAAATTCTGGATTTCTTTACAAACAGAGTAAATTGTTTCTACACCACAACTTTCTATTAATTTCTTGAATATGGGATGCCAATAAAATCTGTAATCACTTTCTGAGAATATTTTAATATAAAACCAACTGTACTTGTACTATTTCATACCTTTATTTTTAACATAAAATGGATGGTCGAGTCTGCATTCTACGGTAAGCAAGCCATCCTCCACTGTGCCAGGATCAAAAGTCAGCTTCAGCACTGACTCACCACAGGAAATACTTTCTTCGTGAGAAATCAACTTTAGACCATTGGAACCATAGTCCTGTAAACACACACAAAGTTCAAAAAACTTCCCCCCAAAAAAGCCCATACCTGTGTATACTACAGGTGTATACTCATCATCATACACTGTACACCAACATTTTAATTAGTATTTCTATCTTGCTGGTAAAGATGATGTAACATTCAAAACGTACCTAAATGAATTAAATTCGAGTACTTTATAGTAAGATACTCGAATAGCTCTAGACATCTTAAATGTCAACCTGTATTCCTGAGATGGTAATTAAAGGCACAGGGATAATATAAGAATCGCTAAATATTTGCTACAGGTATTGAAATAAATTTATCAGAACTAATGGCTACCTTGTAAGGGCTCACTGGGAGATCTTCCTCTTTTCCACAGCTTTCAGATCTTGCAAACTCTTCAACATCCTGCCATTCTTTATTGCGTCCTTTATGAAAGCACAAACGAGAGCCTAACAGATTTTTTCAAGGGAAAAAAATTAGTGTTAGGTAAAAAAGTCTTTCTTACCAAAAAAAAAAAAAAAAAGACAAGACAAAACAAATACTTATTTGATGGTACATGTTATTTTACCTTTTAGAAAACAATGCCAAACAGTTGAAGGCCAGGAATGGCACCATCCTAAATCATCATCATCTGAAAGTGATGACATGCAGAAAATGCCAGATTCTGATTCACTATTCGCCTATTAAAAAAAAAGCAAAATGGTGTTGATATTTTACTACAGAAGATTTAAGATTTTAGGGCTGGTCTTATATGTCTTAAGACATAGTCACTCATTTGCACCTGTGGCATCATTTTGCCTCAAATACCAATAGGAATGTAACACAGAGATTCAAGGAATGCAGTAAATATGAATGGAGCATTTTCATCTCCTGAGATGCATCCTGAAATTTTTGGGTTTCATTCTCTGAGATTGATTTTTACACACCTATGGATTATTTTATGCTTAGGTGTAAGCCTTTTACAAGCTATCACTCTTTGGTCATCCACAGACTCACTCAAAGCACATGTTACTCTATGGTCCAATTACTGGAAAGCTGCAGGTTCAAGCTGGTTCCAGATAAATCACTTGGAAAAATTCAGTGTCGTTAACAGACAAGTTTCAGACACAAATTAATACTCAGGAAAGGGAGATATGGGACCGACAGTATTTGTGCGTCTAAAAGGAGAGAGATCCATATTTCCTTTTGAGGTTGCAAATGAGTTAATAGAGTTTTTTACAGCTTGCTATAGAGGGAACTACAGTAGTAGCAAAGTATTCTTAGAATGGGATCTCTTCAGAAAAAATGTGAACTCTATAAAGCAGCACTACAAGCCTACCCTGTGTGGTAAAAAGAAACAGAAAATCCAGCTTAAATAGAAACGGTATGGGTACTAAACAGATTATTTTTTTTAAACCAGTTTCCCTTTTCACAGAACTTAACTCATTACTCATACATCTTCATTTTAAAATGTTTCAGAACAACTCACCCTTTCGTGTCTGACTGGTGTTTCATCCACATCATTCTTGGAGAAGTTAGGATCATTGTTTGAAGCTACTGGTGGAGGACGTGCATAGGAATGTAAACTTTTGCTTGTAGCTATTATGTGAACAGGAGATGATCTACAATAAAAACAAGTATTTTAAAATAGCTCAGATTAAGACAACTTGAGACTTCACTGCCATTACTCCAAAATGCTTTTATTGCAAATATTTCTGTTTGAGTGAGCTGAACACCAAATAAACCTCCCACACACGAGTATTCAAATTGGATGATTAAAAGGTGCAAGCTCAGGCAAAGAGAATATTTAGCATAACTCCTGCATAGCTTCTATACAGCACCCAAATGACAGTATTACTTCCACAACAGCATCTCACTGTCACAATGCTGAAGTTTTTACAAATATATTGAAGTGAATACCCCATTCTTAAGAGTAAACAAAGACATCTGCTCTGCCCTAATAATTAAATCTCAACTGCATTACTATTAACAGCACCGCATTTAATTTTCTAAATATAAACCTAAGACTAGGATGTAAAATGAGAAGTGAAGCCCAAAAATTTTCAAGATTCCGCACTGCTGCTCACAGCCTCATGGAATTTACAGATCACAGACCTGAAACAGTTATCACTAAAATATACTTTGCATTAGATTTCCAATTAGCTCTGTTAAAAAAAATTTTAAAGTCAGTGCACTAGAAAAGCGTTAAGAATTTAACACAACAAATTCTTTTTAATTTTTCATCTGCTGCTTCACATGAAGTAAACATCCATAATTTCTGGGCCTGCTTTGACTAGGCAATGTCGTTATATCAATGTGTTATATCATCCCACCTCGTTCATGGCTGGAAACTAAGCAGCTTTTGCACCAGACTCTGAGTCCTGTGCATACTCTCACAGAACAATAAAGATACTAAACAGATCAAAGAATAGAGCTCCAGTTCAAATTCAGAAGGTATAAAGAGTGAAGGAAATGTTCCTGGAGACACAGTATTACAAATCCCCACAGTTCAAAATTGAAAAGAATGTCAGTACCTGTTATAAAAAGCGCACTGCATCAAAGGACTCTGAGGACTTGTGGCTATATTTGCTAATTCTGTCAACCAGTTCACCCCATTCTCACAAGAATAAGCATTTTCTGGATTGCTGTTTGAGGTATGTTGGCTCCATGAAGGCCTTGAACATTCCTGATGTGAAACATCAGCACCAAGCTGAAAAAGTGCAGGTGGGGTAGAATCTGTCTGCACAGCCTGTAATTCAGGAAGATCATCTACAAACAAAAGCACAGATTACCATAATTATACCCAATTCTAGTTGACATCAAATATTGCAAATTTAAATAAAAAAGGAACCACAATAGTTTTATTTTTTTGTATCACAACTACCAACATTTTACAAATCCTATTCGTAATCCTGACAAAACGGCCCCAGAAATAGTAACGCCTCTAGTCTAACGTACAGTCACACAAGAAATTTAAGAAAAAAATAAGTTAACTATGTAAAAATGTAGTTCTGGTACCAGTTTACATAGAACTGTACTGCAGAACTATGCAAAATGTAGCATAGTTACACGCTTAACTGAAATATTAAAACATTCAACAAAAGGCAATTAAATTAATCTGTCCTAGCAGGTGTAACACTAAAAATTATCAATATCAAAGGCTATTCAAGATAAAAGTTTTCCACGTTCCACCAGGGAACTGGAATTAAGTCAGAAACCATGAAAGCTGAGTAGGGGTGAATTCCTGTCAGTAACCTACACCTTTCACATCCCATACAGAATAGCAGAATAGAGCCCAGCATGTTAACAGAAGCCTGTGTTATGCACTTCCATGTAACTAAGTTTCATTATTCTTAATCACTCCATGAGTTCAATTAAATGTGTTAATATTTCACTGATTATATCAATACTTTCTAATGTACATGCTATTTTTCTCCAGTACATAAGAACTGAAGTTAAATGTTCCTCCAGCCCAGAATCTTTATTTGCAGCAGATCTAAAGCAGCATAATTTCTCTTTAGGAGGAGCTCTTGAGCGTTGTGTTTGTTATTCTTGTGCCAAAAAATTGTTTCTCTGGGGATTAGTAGCAGAAATTTGTGGCTGTGAGTTCAAGAAAACATTTGAGTCAAAAGGCCAGTGTGTAAGAACTGGAAATGGGTTAAAGGGAAAAGTGACTTCAAAGTAAGACCTTCAGATGTCACAATTCACTGTCACATTCCCTGTCCTACTTAAGTTAAAAATCAGCATCAGCTTCCAGTAATTTCAGTATAGGAAATCTGCAATGAACTTCAGAATTCAGCTTCTCTTGAAAAAGTCATGTTATTTACCAAGTTCCATGTGCTCATCACAGGATGCATATCCAGGAGAAGAGGGCAGGTTTTCATTACACTTCAGCAACTCCAGTGACTCGTTCATTCCTGAAGTTCTCTTGTCCACTACCAGAAGGAGTTTCTGAACTGCATTAGGCATTTGATTTGTCTTCACTTCCCACACCATGTTAGGATGCTCCAAAGCATCTGACTTTAAAGAGACAGAGGTTAAAAACTTGTATGGCATAGGAACTGGTTTAAGTTGCATCTGATACGGTACTTTATTACCAGAACTCCACAGTGTGTTGAGTATCAGAGCATAATTCAGGGAAGTCTACAGATGATCTTGTACAATCCCTGCAGAAAGCAGAGCTAACTCTGAAGTCTGGAGGCTGCTTGGGGCCCTGGCCACTTGAGTTTCTAGTATCTTGAAGGATGGAGATTCCCTGACACTTCCTGGGAACCTGTTCCAGTGACCACTCTTGCTGTAAAGAAGCCGTTCCTTACACACATTTGAACTTTGCTTGCCACAGCCTGTGCCCACTGCCTCCAGGATCTGAGGTTATCTCCTCAACCACCATTCAAGCCAATGTAAACAACATTCACTGGTACCCTAAGCCTCTCATCCCATCACAGAAGGCAATCAGATGGGTCAGACAAGATTTGACTTTGGCTAATCCATTCCAGCTATTCCCTAACCCAGACAATTTCTTGCCTTGCAAGACATGGCTGTCAGGAGGATTTGCCCCATAATATTTCTCAAGGCTAAGGTTAGGCTGGCCAGCCTGTAGTTTCCTCATATCCTCTTCCTCCTTGAAGCCAGATGTGACATTTTCTTTCTTCCAGACATTGGGAGCCCTCCTGCCAACAAATCCACTGCCTTTCGGAGACCATTCTCACAAGGTGTCCCTGCCTACAGCAGGGTGCTTGAAAATAGATGATCTTTAAGGTCCCTTCAAGCCCAAAACAATCCATGAATGACACTGGCCAGCTCCCTTGGAGGCATCCCATCCAATGCATGCCTCACAGAACCGGCCTGCCCCTCACTTGCTCCTCTTCTACCATAGACAAAGAAGTGTCTCACTCTGTCAGACCCATGTGGCTACACCCAGGGACTTGAGAAAGCTGGAAACAGGCCTTGCAAATAAAGATCAAAGCAAAAATGTTGCCCTCAACCTTGTGACATCAGGTCTCCTGTGCCATTTAGCACCAGCCCCAAATTCTCCCTAGTCACCATTTCACCACTGTGGCGTCTCCACAGAAGCCTTTTCCAGTGCCCTTCACATCCCTTGCCTCCAGGTGCAGTCTCAAGCACAGTGGACTGCAAACATCCTGAACAGCATTGCAAAGGGAAAGAAAAAGAAGTCTTTACTAGTAGATTTCACTGCAGTTTCATTTCCCTAAATCTCAGTACTGTAACATTTATCCCAAAAGCATTATTTTAAATTATCTTCAGCAGAGCACTGCGTGCTTATTCTACACAACCACTGCCTCTAAAAGCTGGCAAACAAGGTTATCCAATCTTTAGTAATTTCATTATCTACTGGGTTTTTTTCAGATGATGATGAATTAAAGCTACTATAACATGATTACCTTGTACTTTAATGAAGTGTCATTGAAAAAGTAATCACAAGACCTCATAAAGGAGCAGGAAACACAGCTCAGTAAGAAAGAAAATCTGAGAAGTCTACCTCCATGTTCACGTCCACTAAGTAAGGCACATTAAAGAAATAAAAACAACAGCTAAAAACAGCCTAATATTTTCACATCACAAAATGACTGGGGTTGGAAGGGACCTCTGGAGATCATCTAGTCCAACCCTCTCACTGCTAAAGCCGGTTCACCTACAGCAGGTTGCATGGGATTGTGTCCAGGAGAGTTTTGACTGGAAAATTTCTAACCTTCTCATCTCTTAATCTTTCAAATACATGCAAAACTTAGAGAAACTTGCATGCCACACATAAAAGAATGTTTGATTCTACTCAAATGGCACTACTACAAAGCTAGGTCACTTTATTCTGATTTTAAGGAGGTGGAGCAGAAAGTTTATTTGATTTGAATTTGTTTTCATTTCTGTGGTCAGTCAGTGACATTAATTTTACCTCCAAGAAACATCTTTAATGCAAATTATTCCTCTATCATCCATGTGGGACAGCAGAAGTACAGAAAACCACGAGAGCAGAGAGCTCAGCCATTTCTGCAGAAAGTTCAGACCTGAATAGAACAGGTCAGGACCTTGAAGATTATCTCCAACTAATCAACTCTGAAAAGCCACTCCTTGTTTTTCTGGCTTGTGTACGTCCTTCCTTTCCCCCCTTCTGCTTTGCTTTTTTTGCTCTATTTTTTCCTGCCAAAATGAACAAGCTAACTTATTTTTGTAACGCTACCTTCTCCTTTCTTCCTGCCAGGTGCCAAGATTTGAAAGTACCTGCCCTGCTATCCCAACACACTGAAGGTCAGCAATAAGGTACAGACACAACATGCTAATCTGACAAGCAAGATACTTGCTTGAGAAATGAAGTGTTCCTGCAAGTCACAAGAATTTCTCTAAACCAAAGCCACCCATGTAAGAAAGCCAAAAAATCCTCTAACAAATGAATTACAAAGAAATCATAAAAAACTTACAAAGAAAAACAAAGAAAGTGCCCAACTTTACTTTTTAATGGTTTTATCCCATTTGATTAAAGCCTGTTTTGGATATCACGTGTTTCTCTTGTCCTCAGCCTTTCAATGGTTTAGAACATGAAACAGAATGGTCATTAATTCGCCTGTAAAGATTTTTTAAAACTCAACTTCATGTTCAAAACTTGTTGTGTCAGATGTTTTTTGGAAGCATGCTTCACAGGACTGTAATTACTACTGTCGTCTTTAGAGGCTAAGCGAAATTATTTATTGTTTTGTGCTTTAAAATAACTTGTCATGCTAAAACAAACAGCAGTATTAACAAAGACATTATTAACTGAACCATGTCTATTTCTGAAGGACAAAAATAAATGTGTGACAAGAGTAAATAAAGGCTGTGGCTGAGAAGGGGTTCAGCAGGATCTGGGCAGCATCCACCCAAACCGCACTGCGCAGGAATGCCTGGGTGGAAGTGCTTCCCGTGTTTTTTTTCCTCCTGGTATTTGCCCTCCTTCCCCCAACCCACGGCCGAAGTCTCAGGCAACATCTACGCCTGAGCAACGCGCTGGATGGAGTTTAATCTGAACAGCTTCTCCAAGCAAAACACAGCATACTGGCAAGACTGGATCTATCCCAGGGACTTTTCCTGGCGCAGCTGCTTTGATCAGGGATCCCCGCTCCCCATTCCCGGCCGTGCCAGGGAGCGCAGCGCAGACAGAGCGTGATTCACCATGTTTTCCAAGCCCGGGCGGCCCGTTCGCGTGACGCAGGGCGGGCCGCGCTCCCCTCACGGCACAGACACCCCCCGGGACCCTAAGGGTGACGTTCAGAGCCCGATCCGGGCCCGGAGGGCTCTGGGGACGCCCGGGAAGCCCTCACAGCTCCCCGAAACACTCCCGGGAGCCCCCACGGCTCCCACCGCCCCCGGGCCGCCCCCCCACCCATCACGTGACCTTGTTTACACCCGCGGCCACACGGCGCATGCGCGCTCGGCCCCATTCATTCGTACTGCGTAACAGGGGCCCGGGGGGGCCCCCCCGCCCCGGCCGCCGCTCCCCCCGCGGGGCCGCCCGGGCCCCCCGCACCCGGCCCCCTGCCCCCACAGCCGCTGCCCCCGCGCCGGGCACAGCGCCCTCGCTCTGACAGATCGCGGCGGGCAGCCGCTCCCTTAGGGAAAACAAGTGGGGGACACCCGCCCTGCTCCACTTGTTTTCGGGTCTCGAGGGCCCGCAGGGGGGCCGGCGCACCGCGCAGGTTTCATCCCAGCGGCGCGGGACGGTGGCAGCTCCGCCGGGCCAGTCATGGAAGGCGCCCAGTAAACAATGTCCCGGGCTCCCTTCGCCGCCAAAAGCCTGCCCTCGCGGCTTCCTCGGCTCGGCCCGCGGCCGCCGCCGCTCCCCTCCAACCTCGCGGAACCGGCCTGCCCCCCGCGGCCGCCTCGCAGCCCCCAAAAGCGGCAGCTGCAAACTTTGTAGCACTTACCGAACCCGTCGCCATTACCGAGCTCCCCTCGGCTGCCCCCCCGCCCCGGCCCCGCTGCAAGTCCCGCCCACGCCCAGAGCTGCTCGGCCGTTAAGTGGCCAGAGACGACGTTGCTCAAGCCGTAGCCGCTTCCTATTGGCCGTCCGGCCTGCCTGTCAGGAACGCACCCGGAGGGCGGGCATGTTTTGACTCTCCCGCGCAGCGGATTGCACCGCGCTGCACATCAATCACCCGCACACGGCGTCCCGATTGGCCGGTGCCCCCGCTGACGCGCCGAGGGGCACTCTGGGAGCTGTAGTGCTCGCCGCCGCCCTTCCTTGCCCGCGGGGCGGCGGTGAGACCACAGCCCCCAGGGTGCCCTGCGCGGCGCCCGGCGGTGGTAAACAAGCGGTGCAGGGACACGTGTACCCGGCCCGGGCCGCGCCGCGCCGCGACCCCCGCCCGCAGAGAGGGGGCTCCGTGGGATCCCCGCGGCCCCCCGGGACACCCCCGCGTGTCAGCGCTGCATCGAAACAGGCTGCGCAGCGCCCTGGGCACCGCCCCGCGCGGAGGGTGAGGGAAGTTACTAAAGGTCAGGCAGTGAGTCAGCACAGTCGGCCCTGCCCCGGCCTCGGCTCTTACGTCCCTTCCACTGAAAAAACACCGGCCCAAAATAAAAGTTGGTGAGGGGGGAAGAAAAATAAACTAAATTAATGCAGGCTTATAAGTCCAGTAGTGTCTCCCGTACATTCCCATACATTTATTGCCAAAATAACAACGTGGTTTGGTTAAACATTACTTTTGACAGAGAAATGAAACTACAGATATTATGAGATTTGCCCACTTATCCAGTGACTGGGAGATCTTAGAGACAAAGCTCCTCCCGAGGCCACGTCCTCGTCACAAAATACAGTAATTACTAAGCATGACGTGATACAAAGCAAATGTACAATTCAAAAACAGTCAATATTTTAGAAACTGATGGAGAGTTTCAACATTTTGCAGCTGTTTGCATTTTTTCAAGAAAAGCATTTCTTTCTTATCCTGTTTTCAATATCATTCCAATAATGAGTATGCGTCCTAAATCCTGTCTCAGAGCTTTTGTTGTTATTTGCTATCTGCAACAGCTCTGCCTTTCAGGCACGCTAACACAGCTTTGCGAGAATACAAGAAAAAAAAAAGCACAATTTAAACAATTGGTTCCGTGTTCGTTGTCCCATGACAAACGTGGTTAGTGGCCGCTAGAGGGAATGCTGGATTATTGTTCCCACAGGCCTACAAGGGTAACACAATTGGAAAGAAAAAAAGAAAATTAAATCACATACACAGAAATTGTACTTAGCATCGAAACACGCTCAGTATGCAGATGTCATTGGCACATCAGTTTAAGATTTGCCTTTTCCAAGAAGTTTGTCTGTTAGTAAACTCATTGCCATCTGTAGGCACTGTTTGGAGAGATACACTACTTTGAAAAACACACAGTATCTTCTGCACTGTGAACTGGAAACTATTACTTTTTATATGCAAGTTTAGCTTTAAAAAAAGAGTAGAAAAGGCAATGCAATGGAATTTAATTAAAAATCTTCTGTGCTTAATGACCAAACCAACCAACCCTTTACAGAACGTTTTCCCAGTTCGAAAACACGAGTTAAACAAGTGCCTTGAGGAAAAATCTTAATATTGAGATTCAAATATTAAGCAACTAGACAGCTTATTATAATATCAACTGTCTATCCCACATTCCACAAGCTCACATTTTTCCTATATTTACAATTCAGGGTTTTCCTAAATAACTGATATATCTTTATATTAGAAAGATTTTGTGGCATCCTCTCTCTCAAATACATTTTTTTAATAAATAGAAAACTGGTAAACCGGGAATCATCTTTTTTACACCACTCCACAATAAAATTAATTTTAAAGCTGTGCTACTTCCCCTTTCTCTTTTGATCTCCCTTATGTATCTAAACAGCCCTTAGGCCCTTTGGAGAGACACCTGAGCTTCTGGGGCTTTTAATGAATTTCACTGCTGACCCTGCATCACCAGATGGAGACTTGGCAGAAGACCTGTGCATGCAGATGTCTCCCTTCTGCAAACAGGCTTCTCTGCTTGTGGTACAGCCACTTGCAAGGTAAAGCTCACCATTTACTCTTCTGAAAGCTCCCCCTGCCACAGTGTGAAAGATGGAAAGGGCAGAGGCTGGATCAAGCAGCTACAGAAGATACAAGATCCTGCCTCAAGTCCCCTCACATTCTTCAGAATAAGTTTGTTGGCCTAAAGATTCATATCATGTTATGTGGCCCATTTCCACCCTGTTATGTACTTTTTGAACCCAAAACACCCAAACAAAATAGCTGCACAGCTATTTGCTGTGAAGGCTCACAGTTCTCTACAAATATTACAAAACTGTTAGATGTGAAGCCCAGTCCTTTGAAATCCACTGGCCCAGATTCCAGACATAGGTCTAGACAAGTAAATACCACTGCTGAATTAGAGCCTTGATATCACACTGGAATCTATAGCATACCCAGAAAGCACAAAATATATGAGTCCTAACTAGGACCAAGATTACAATCTTGTAATGATGAGTGTCTGAATTGTTTTGCGATTCTAAAAAGAGACATGTAAAACCTTTCTTATTTTCAAATATACCTTTTCTTCTTTGCATATAGTAAATTAACATTTACTCAGTGGGATGTAAGAGAAAATGAGTCAAAGGACAGGTAGTCCATGAAGTAGATGACAGCAGAAAACTATCGAAGCTTATTTACTAACCCCCTTGGTTCAAGGCAAATATGTATCATCTAAATTTCAGAATTAAGATTATGTCAATGCCATACTCCTTGAGCTGTATGTCTAGTCTCTAATTAAATCATTACACCCCCTCCACACACCCTACCTCGCCTTAGTCCATGCCCAAAATGAATGGGTGCTCAGAGAATGAATCAATACTGTGTAACACAGACACTGTTGGCAGCTTTGCTGATTCAGTTGCTTCTGCTGTTGTAAGAGGTAGAAAATAAGGTGGGGGATTGGGAAGTGTTAGTTGTGAGTTCCTGTCACATTATGGGTGCAGAAGCACAAGAAGCACAAAACAATTAGCAGAGTCTACACTATTAGAAAATACTGATTAATTTGCATCTTAGCTATTTACTTCTTAAAATTGCCAGCCACAAAGTTAAGAAATCACAAAGTAGATTTTTAAAATGAGTAATATTTCAAAGTCATATTAATAAAATGTTATATATTGGGTTTGTGCCTATCTCCACTTTTAATCCCTCCTGTCCAAAGCCAATCCTGCCCTTATGACACAGCTGTTACTGCTGACTCTCTGAAATACACCATATCATTATTTTAATTCTACTACAGCTGCTTTCTCATCCACATGTAGACATTCACCCTCAGTAATTAACTAATACTCCCCCAGACATCAGAGGAACCCTGCTCACCATAGCTTCCACTCCTACTCAACGTGGCAGCCTCTGTTCTGCCAGACCGTCTCACACCAGTTTTCTCCTGTCACAATGACTCCTGTATCTCCTAAAGCTATTTGTACTCATTCTCTCTTCTCACAGCTTTTTGTGCCTGACTACAATGGTGGTAGGCTCCCTCCACCTTCCTAAGGACAACTCTAGGCATGCCCATCCCCACATTTCACCTCTTCAATCTCCTCACAGAAGATGCTGTTAGGAATGAAAAGCAGAGGAACAAAGAACTTGTTGCTCTCAGAAATTAATTTTTCCCTTGAGTGCTAGAAGGGAAACTTCACTTGCTTCCTGCAGTCTGTTCAAGGTGGGGAGAAATGGAATAAACAGCAGGCCAGAGATGATTTTTTCTTCTAAGACAGGTCAGGAATTAATGAGAAATTTATTTCATGCCACTAAGGCACAGATTCCAGTTTTAGCTAAATTTTACCACCTACAAAAATAAAGCAAGACAAAGGTGACAATAGTAGGCAAAAAATAAAGGCTTGATATATTGTAAAAACAATCCAGAAGAGTGATAAATAAGAAAATCATCTATCCCAGCTCAAAGCTTTCAGAAAAACAATTCAAGAAGAGATTATAGATGATCTGTAGGTTTTCTTTATGCCGACTGGTAAATTAAAATGCCCAGGAGTGTTTCTGGAATACAATCA